AAGTTTTTAGAATTTATCCAATATAAAGGTCTACTTTTATGTTTCTGGAGCCGTAGATTTTGAAAACGACCTCCATTTTAAGATTACGCCACTGCGTTTCGGCTCAATCATAAAATGGAGCTTAAATATTAGATAAATTTAAATATTAAAGATTAGAAAAATTTCAATACGTCTCGGATAACATATAAGTAGATCCTTATACCGAAAAAGTAAAAAAAAAAAATTTTATAATCCAAAACACAGTGACATAAACTTGAAATTGGGTCATTTACAAAATGGGGGAAATCTACTGCTCCAGAAACATAAAATTAGATCTTTATACTTGTTAAATTCTAAAAACTTAAATAAGTTGAAACGCAGTGGCGTAATCATACAATAGAGGTCATTTTCAGAATCTACAGTTCCGAAAACATAAAAGTAGACCTTTAAATTGGATAAATTCGAAAAACTTTAATAAGTCAAAATGAAATGGTGTACTCATGAAATGGAGGTTATTTTCAAAATCTACGGCTCAAGAAACATAAAAGTAGACCCTTACATCGAATAAATCAAAAAAACTTAAATAAGACAAAACGCAGTGGCGTAATCTTAAAATGGAGGTCATTTTCAATATCTACAGCTCCGGAAACATAAAAATACACCCCTAACCTCGAATAAATAAAAAAAACTTAAATAAGTCGAAACGCAGTGGCGTAATCTTAAAATGGAGGTCATTTTCAAAATCTACGGCTCAAGAAACATAAAAGTAGACCCTTACATCGAATAAATCAAAAAAACTTAAATAAGACGAAACGCAGTGGCGTAATCTTAAAATGGAGGTCATTTTCAATATCTACAGCTCCGGAAACATAAAAATACACCACTAACATCGAATAAATAAAAAAAACTTAAATAAGTCGAAACGCAGTGGCGTAATCTTAAAATGGAGGTCATTTTCAAAATCTACAGCTCCGGAAACATAGAAATACATCCTCATATGAAAAATATCCGAAAAACTCAAATAAGTCGAAACGCGGTGGCCTAATCTTAAAATGGAGGTCATTTTCAAAATCTACAGCTCCGGAAACATAAAAATACACCCTCATATGAAAAATATCCGAAAAACTCAAATAAGTCGAAACGCGGTGGCCTAATCTTAAAATGGAGGTCGTTTTCAAAATCTACGGCTCCAGAAACATAAAAGTAGACCTTTATATTGGATAAATTCTAAAAACTTAAATAAATCAAAACACAGTGGCGTAAACATAAAATGGATGTCATTTTCAAAATTTACTGATCGGGAAACATAAAAATACACCCTTATATCGAATAATTCAAAAAAACTTAAATAATTCGAAACTCAGTCACATAATCTTAAAAAGGAGGTTATTTTCAAAAACTACTCGAACGATAACAGACCCACACATCGAAAAATTAAAGATAATTAAATAAATAAAAAAAGGTTGAATTTGAAATGGAAAAGGTTTGATTTGAAATGGAAAAGGTTGAATTTGACTTGGAAAAAGTTTAATTTGATTTGGAAAAGGTTGAATTTGACTTGGAAAAGGTTGAAATTGACTTGGAAATGCTATATACTACTCCGGAAACATAAGAACACACTCTTTTATGATAAAAATTCGAAACACTTGAAGAAATCGAAATGCAGTGGCCTAATCTTAAAATGGAGGTCGTTTTCAAAATCTACGGGTCCAGAAACATAAGAATACATCCTCATATGAAAAAAATCCGAAAAACTAAAATAAATCGAAACGCGGTGGCCTAATCTTAAAATGGAGGTCGTTTTAAAAATATACGGCTCCAGAAACATAAAAGTAGACCTTTATATTGGATAAATTCTAAAAACTTAAATAAGTCAAAACACAGTGGTGTAAACATAACATGGATGTCATTTTCAAAATTTACTGATCGGGAAACATAAAAATACACCCTTATATCGAATAATTTAAAAAAACTTAAATAATTCGAAACTCTGTCATATAATCTTAAAAAGGAGGTTATTTTCAAAAACTACTCGAACGATAACAGACCCACACATCGAAAAATTAAAGATAATTAAATAAATAAAAAAAGGTTGAATTTGAAATGGAAAAGGTTTGATTTGAAATGGAAAAGGTTGAATTTGACTTGGAAAAGGTTTAATTTGATTTGGAAAAGGTTGAATTTGACTTGGAAAAGGTTGAAATTGTCTTGGAAAAGGTTGAAATTGACTTGGAAATGCTATATACTACTCCGGAAACATAAGAACACACTCTTTTATGATAAAAATTCGAAACACTTGAAGAAATCGAAATGCGGTGGCCTAATCTTAAAATGGAGGTCGTTTTCAAAATCTACGGGTCCAGAAACATAAGAATACATCCTCATATGAAAAAAATCCGAAAAACTCAAATAAATCGAAACGCGGTGGCCTAATCTTAAAATGGAGGTCGTTTTCAAAATCTACGGCTCCAGAAACATAAAAGTAGACCTTTATATTGGATAAATTCTAAAAACTTAAATAAGTCAAAACATAGTGGCGTAAACATAACATGGATGTCATTTTCAAAATTTACTGATTGGGAAACATAAAAATACACCCTTATATCGAATAAGTCAAAAAAACTTAAATGATTCGAAATGCAGTTACTTAATCTTAAAATGGGGGATATTTTCAAAACTATGTACAGGACAGCATAATACTAGTCCCTAATAAATCTGAATAGCTACAATAAATCGATATCCGTAAGTGAAAATTCTACTTAGGAGAGCATAATAATAGACTTTCATATTGGAGGGGGGGAGGGGATGGCCATTATTTAAAAAAAATATATAAGATTTACAAAAAATTAAAACATTAATTTGAAATGAAAACGGTTGAATTTGAATTGGAAAAGGTTTAATTTGAAATGGAAATGGTTGAATTTGACTTGGAAAAAGTTTAATTTGATCTGGAAAAGGTTGAATTTGACTTGGAAATGGTTGAATTTGACTTGGAAATGACAGAAATATCACACTGAAAAAATCTAAACAGTTAAAATAAATGGACATGCAACCGCGTTATCAAATTTTTTTTTGTATTTTTCAAAAGCTATACCTTCGATAATATAGTAAGTGGCCTTCATTTTGAAAAAAATCGAAAATTGACAAAAATTCGAAAGTTGAATTTGAAATGGAAAAGGTTGAATTTGACTTGGAAAAGGTTGAATTTGAAATGGAAAAGGTTGAATTTGACTTGGAAAAGGTTGAATTTGAAATGGAAAAGGTTTAATTTGACTTGGAAAAGGTTGAATTTGATTTGGAAAAGGTTGAAATTGACTTGGAAATGCTATATATATGTATACAAGATAATGTTTCTTTCCGGCACACAAACTATATCATAATACACACACACATATATAAAGGATTATGTCACTACAGTTGATAATTTAAACTAATACATTGGTACTATTAAAATGTAAATATTATTGTACTTAGCAGGTAATAGTTCATTTTCTTAAATAATGTTTCTCGTATTGACCCCTTATTCTGGATAAAGTAGAAGATCCCAACCCAACAACTAAAATATAAGGAAAATATACTCTTGATTTTGAGAAGAGGGAGCCTTTTTATCAGTTTTGTATCCATACAGGAAAAAGCAACGTACAGATCAATTTAGCACTTACACAACATTTTAGCAAAACGGATAAGCCACCAAAATTTTTTAAAATTCTGGTATTGGAGGCAATAGACTAAAGACATCCTTGAAGAGATGTCTTCTTAGATTCACATGACTCACAAAGAAGGAGCTGGAGTCTATGCAGGTCAGTTCCAAATTAAAAAGCCAGTAAGCAAGTGTGGTTCAAATTTTGATAGAGAAGTGAAAGCTATATTCCCGGCTTTAGAAGTGTTAAGGGACATACAGCCTAGAAACGTTGTAATATTTTTTGATTTGTAAACAGCAATACAGCCTTAGGATAAAAAAGTTTTTAAAGCTGAGGCACAAAAACGAACTAAAATCCAAGGTTGAGGAGAAAAAATATGATTTTCTTATACAAAATAACTCCCATACAATCTGACAAGAGAAAACGCAGTGACTAGTTTCAGAAGTAGTCACTTGCAGGCTTATTTAATCAACATAGGAGTAAAGAGTAAAAAAAAACTGCTGACTCAACAACAATGATGAAATGAATGGTGATCACCTGGACACATTCCTTGCCTTGAAAGACATAAAGAAAATAAAATATAAATGAAAATAATTATAAAAGGAAGTCTAAACTTTATTCGGCTGCTTTAGTCTCATGGCTAATAAGCCAAATTAGTCATAAAAATGGAAGACAGAGGCGACCGACCCTAGGGATTCCAAAGATGAACCATACAAAAAAAAAAAAAAAAAAAAAAAAGCATATATTCGACGTTTCCGATTACTTCAGCACTTACTAGACAAACGCTCTAAACTTCCCATTAATTACAAAAGACTCATATACTTGACTATAATAAGACCTATTTGGACTTACGGAGTTGAGCTATGGGACTCCACTAAACCATCGAATTCCTCTCGCATCCAATCCTTACAATCCAAAATCCTTCGTAAAATCCTCAATGCTCCTTACTTTGTCACTAATAAAATTATCCATAAAGATCTTAATGTTCCTTATGTTTCAGATCTGGCCCAATCCAGATACCTATCCTTCCATAATAAACTTCAGAATCATCCCAACCCTCTCGTTTCTAACCTTGCTTCCTCTTCAATTCCTGATAACCCTCCGAGGCGTCTGAAAAGAAGATGGCCCCGTGATCTCCTAATGTAGTCATATCATTAGAGTGCTACCATTGGGTGGTTACTCAGCAAGTGTATTCATGTCATTATATCAATTATGTCCAAATTTACTTGATGTATTTATGTAATACAGTTGTAAATGTCATAAAGAAATAAAAAAAAAAAAAAAAAAATATTCATTGAATTTATTATGCAAGCAATTGATCTAGGTATTTATTACATGTTTCAACTAAATATTGTTGAGGAAAGATATAATTTAGCAAACCTTGTTCAGCTATTTCAATTTCTCTTCGCCCAAATGCATGTTCTTTTATGTTTTTGACACAGAAATCTGAAAATCCACTAGAAGCAACCTGAAGCCTTTGCCTTGGCGAAACATCGTCTTCTTCAGAACTACTACCTGTATAAGATGCTGAAATGGAATAATAATCTCATTAAGTGATTCAAAAATATTGTTCATATTACCATTAAAATCAAATCTAACAATTTAAGAAAGGGTATATTGGTCATGAATTTCTTCATTAATTACAATAAAATCATATAAGTGTTAGCTACTTCAAGATATACCAAATAAAAATATAATACTTTTTAAAAAAAAATCAGAAAAGCCACAAGGGATTAGTATTATTAGTTTCCAGACACAGGGAATTGTTTTATGTAAATTTGAAGACATAGAAGAAGTATTAAATCGAAAGAGCTCGGATATCTATCACGAACTGCCGGATTATATAACTTGGAAGAGGAAGGATATTTGAAAATAGTTACAATGGTAGGAAGAATAAGGAAGCCAATTTAAATGGAAAATGGAAGACAGAGGCCATCCTAGGGATTCCAAAGATGAACCGTACAAAACAATTTATTATGTTTTCCCCCCTGAAATCCCCAGGGATAAACCAAACAATAGTAGTCAGAGAGGAAAATTATTAAGAAAGTAACAAGGAGCTTACAGGTTCTCAATGGAAGTAGGTGACTTCTTGAATCCGGTTAGAATTGGTTGGTTACTCGAAGGATAAACCCTCTCTCCGCTCCCTCAGTAGCCAAAAATGGCAAGCCAGGAAAAACAAGAATATAAATAGTTTCATAAGAAACTCAATTCATGTTGGAAATTCAAATAAATCATACGATTTCCTCAATGTATCAAACCCAAAATGTAAAATGACTACTTATCAGAAAAGAGAAAAAAAAATCTTATAAATAGGAAAAAATTGATGAAGTTCTCAGGCCAAAGCCAAAACTAGCAGTGAATAAGAAGAAGGCATAACAATAATTCTATACTCTCATTTAAGTAAAAAAAATGAGACCTAAACTGATCATACCACGTGTTGGGGTTAATAATTCTTAATTTTAAAAGAGATTGGTTTACAGTCTAATCTCATAGTCACATACTTGTGGAAACTTATGGTGACAATGTCCTAATGCAAGATGCTTGTGTGTGTTGTTTTAGATGATTCAAAATTGGTGATTTTGACTTCAAAGACAAAGAATGCCCAGACCAAGGAAAAAAAAAAAAATTCAAGATGCCAAACGGCAAGCATTTTTGGATGAAGACAATATGAAAACTCAACAACAAATGGCAGAGGGGTTAAATGTGATCCTTCTTACAGGAAAGTTCATAAACAAAATTTTTGGACGGATGCAAGAGGCATGAAATATTGTTCAGATATGGTGTAAAAAATGTGCTTATCAGTAAATCAATCAAATACTAAGTTGATTTTATTTACCAAGAAACATAATCTGGACACATTTAAGGCTCTAATTTTCTTTGGTAAGCAACTTAAATTATGAAAGAATGTCAAATGCCTTGGTATTACTTTAGATTCTAAACTAAATTGGGGACCACATTTGGCAGAAATTAAAAGGAAAACCATAACAGCCTTCTGGCGGGCAAGACGCATTTCAGTAGGCGTAACTAGGGATTTTAATCCTAAGATTATCCATTGGATATATATACAGCAATAATAAGACCTACAATACAATATAGAAGCATGGTGTTGTGGGTAGCCCTAAATAGGACCTCTCATATGTGAAGGCTCTGTTGCAAGCAAAGAATGGTCAGCAATGGCATTCCACACAACACCTACAAAGGCCTTGGAAGTCTTACTGTTTTTGATTCTGCTACATCTATGGATAATAGATAAAGTGATTATGGCATTTTTAAGAAAGAGGGATAACGCACCTTGGCAAGAAACAGGTTGGAGCATTGCCCGTTGTGGTATTCTCGTGCCTAGCGACACTGGTTTGAATCCACCCTGGCAAGAGTTGACTTTTATTTTGTGATGAAGCCACAAGAAAAAGTACAAGACAAGGAAAAGCAATTTTGCAGCATGACAACGCCGCATCACACCCAATGAAAGCAGTCAAAGACACCGTTTCTTTTCTTGGCTGGAAGCTCATGTCCCACCTACCATATTCACCAGACTTGGCCCCTTTCAACTACCACTTGTTTCCATTGAAGTCTCAATCACTAACCATGAAACATTTTAACAATTAGGGAGATGTCACAAAATGGATAGCTGATTGGACCATCTCAAAAGAAATACAGTTTTTCTGAAAGCATTCACAAATTGCTAGAGGTGGGAAAAATGTGTAACTAGCGATGATGGATGGTAACTCAGTATTAATAGAAATAAAAGAAAATATACACAATGAATTATTTTTTAGATATGACAGAATAAATTAAATTAAACTAAAATCATATGATTGGAAATATTTCCTTCTATCATTTGAATAGAATGATGGTGTGAAAATAAAAAAAATTAATTAACAAATATCTACTTACCAGAACTATAAGAATCAGTAGAAGATGCTGACAAAGAACGACTTCGATACCTACTTGATTTTTTCAATGCACTGGTTGATTTCGATTCCTAAAAACATTTAATATTACATAAATAACAACATTTTGTAAACAATTTATTGACTTAATCATGTTTTGGTATACCATAACACCTATATTCATACCATTAAAAGTTTATGTAATGGAGCAAAGGCATATCATATTTTAATAAATAAAGATCTAAATAATATATATAATCAGTATCACTACAACCAAAACATGAAAGTTTTGAGTTCAGTACTTTGCAAGCAAATTACTGTTTCAAGGCCAACAGTTGTGCAGGGAGGAGATCCGGCTGAGATTACATTCAACCACCTGGCTTTCCCTCTTAATCAATTATTTAATCAATAGTACTGACTTTATAAAGGATGGGTGTGCTGTAGAAGGGTCCTCCAGATCCCATGGTCAATTCACATTGTATTATTTTTTATCAACATAAAATAAATTGAACAAAACCACAGCTCAGACAAATTTTCATTTTCTTTAAAAATCTATATTATACATCGCGCCTTCCCAATTTGTAACTATAACATATAATCGTGTTCTTGTCCATCTTCATATAAGCCCAAAATCAATTGGAGCCTTTTATTTCTAATATATTCATTGTACGTTATATTGTACTTCCTTTTCTATTTCATAATAACTACAATTATATTTATATCACAATATAATAAAATTTCTATATTGAAAAACAACTGCTATCACCTAAGAAAAATCAAACTACCATCTTCAGGTGAATACTATTTTTCGAACGAAATTTTGGTCTAAAATCTTTATTTTGTATTAGAAGAGTAGGAGGTTACAAGAGCTCAAACTGTAACAAAGACACCAGGGTGTAAATCTTTATTTTGTATTAGGAGAATAGGAAGTTACAGGAGCGCAACACATATGTAATTAAATGAACAGTTGTATAATTATTGCTAATTAAAGAGCTAATAGGAGATCTCCTGCAATCTTCTACTCTCCTAATGCTAAAATAAAATAAGATCACTAAAAACTTTTTTTTATAATAGAGAGAAAAGAAAAGAATAGAGAATATTTATATCACCATAAGATAATTTAACATAAATTCATAATTTAAAATAATAATATTTATGAAAAATTACCAGTTTTCTCTGACCAACAAATGAAGAAGCACCAGAATCCACATTCTGAAAATTAATAAAATAAAATGTTTATCATTAACTTATAAAAGTCTATAATTAATTTAAATTTTGTAATATAAGGAAATGCGACAATGACAATATTCAAGAAATTTACTAAACAAATATGATAAAGGAAACCAAGCATTTTCTTTCCACTAAAAATTAATTTTGAATCAAGAATAAAAGAATTTTTTTTTTTTAAGAGATTGCATTTGAAAAAGTCAAGCACAGAAAAGTTATCAATCAGAGTAAACTATAAAATGAAATTATTGTAAATAAAGTTACGGAAGGATCTTATCTTGATTAATATTGTACAACCAGAAATGGACATTTCAACCCAAGCTTGTGGGTTGTTATCATGTATCATTTGAACACCTTCAGTGCTGTGCTGGTAACATGCCCTCATGATGACGCAAAAGCTTGGTTTGAAACGTCCCCAACAATAAAAATCTTAAAACGACTACGTTCTGACTATTTATCACCCATGATATGTAGTACAGTCGACTAACTTCCTTCAATAACAATTAAGTTAGTTTTATACATTTTTCTTTTCTGTTGGTATTATATAAGAGTTTTATACACAAGAGTTAAATTGAATTAGTTAAGATAAATAACAGTACCTTAACTAATAATATATATACTACTAGATATTTATTTTAGAATATCATAAGAAATAGTTTGAAATGACATGTTAATCTTTGGTAAATTTAAAAACTAAAATCAAACAATCAGCTTTTACATAGACTATCAAAAATGAAATCAGTTTCACAACAGTACTTAAAGATTACTCAGTTTTATGTTACTCAAATTAAATTACAATAATAAAGTTTAAGATATTCTGCCTATTATGAGACAATTTAATTAAAACAATTATTAACTTATTTTTTATTTATTTAAAACAGACAATATAAATTAGTTATAGGTTATTCTATTTGGTCATAAATGTTTTATATAACATATATTTATCTTGCAGAAATCAACTAAACAGTGGGAGGATTAGGAGAAAACTACTTGTACCTACTAATAAATTATTTTTGGATTGAAAAAGTAAGATACTGAAATTTAAACACAGAATCATAAATGAAATTAAATACCTTTCATTTTAGCCCTTTGGTTTGAGCTTAATAATGTTGAACAATACCTAAATTTGAACTGATTGAGAAAATTCAAGAACAGAAAAAGAGATTTCACATACTGAAGTTCAAGTATAATACAAATGTCGTGTAAGGAAAAGAGGTAATGAAAATAAAAAATAACATAATAGATGAAAAGAGAATTAAGTGATATAGCGATTTAATACGATTAATAGATAGAATAAGAGTACTAGTTCAGAAGTGCCATCTTCGATTGATAGGTGGATCAAGATCATACTGGAAATGAAATTCTGAATGTAGCCAATTGTCGATAACTAGGTTTTTAGGTATATTCACTGCACTCCGTAAACTCAGGATGGCCTTTTCTAGCTGTCTAGGCCTAATTAAGCATGGATCCTATTTAGAGGAAATGGATCCTTTTTAATTCATAATTAAATACCTTCCATAATTTATTTTCAAGCAAGAAATGGAAATTGGTCATCTTCATAAACTTTAAGACACATTCGGCAACTTTCAAAATTCTAGATAATTGATGAAGAACCTTTCAACCATAAGTGAATTAATTACAGGATAAAGCTAGTCCAATATATTCTATAAATTTGACATTTCAATAAAAACAATCTTAGTTTCACTCAATCAATTCAGTTATTTATTACTGCAATCATGAGTACTTTTAATCTATTCTAGAAGTTTATAAGGAAGAATTAGAAAGGCGGATATCACTAATTTATATTGGTTTCATGTATTTTGTAAAATTTAATTTATGCGAACAATTATATTCATGTCATTAATCATCAAATCTTGTGAAATGAAAACATAAGCATAATTAAAAAGCAACATTAAGTATGTACAACTATTATTGATAAATAACATTGTGTAAAAAAAAAAAAAAAGAATTATAATCTATGTTTCTGGTTTGGGGTAGGGACAATTAATATAAAATTACAACAGAGTGGTCAAAAAGCAAACCCATTAAATAAAGAATAAATAAGTGAGTTTTAATTTACAGAAATGACTACAAACATAGCTTACTGATAAAGATAAAAATGGAAAACATATAAAATAAAGGAAGTTAAAATGCAACTGAACATAATATTAATTAAGTATCAAAATCCAATTTTTCATTTTGATTGTGAGTAAATTAATAAACAATGCCAAAGAAGAATGTTTATGTGGTAATTCGTCAAGAAATGGGCAACTTGAAAGGATTTTTGTTAAGCCTTACACAATAGAATTAAAACATACTATGAAGAATTGCAACTAAATACCTTAATTGCAGATCCTGGATCAGTTACCGGGCTGTCAGAAACAGTTGATGGGTTTGATTTGGTGACACAAGAAGAAACAACCTCACTCATCTCTACTGATTCTCCCTAACTACTTCTACACCAGCTGTTAACAGATTGATTTATCGATTAAAATACATCGATTTACATTAGAATGAATAGTTGAATCGATATTTGCTAAGAGACAGTATTTTAACGGTTAAAATAGCTGGGAAAATGCACCAAATTAAAGAAACTTAATTTTGAGCTATTGCATTTTTTCGGGTAATACGGTTCAATCAATGCCAGACAATTCAACTTTATTTAAAAGCATAACAATATAAAATTGAAAGGGTAATAAATCAAATTTATTTAAGGAGGTATTATCTTCAAATATAAATGACACTTTATTTATTTAGTCATATACCCACAATTGGCAGGATGGTGTTTTCCATTTATTTCATGTATTGTCTGTTTGTTATCAGTTTACTTATTAATGTTTATTTTTCTAATTTATTTACTTAATATAGAGTAGATTTCAGTAGATTAAATTATTTGTTTTCATAAGAGTTGTCTACTGTTACATTCATAATAGTTGTAATTAAATGAATATGATGTTATTTTTAATAAATAGATTCTTAAATTGTTGACAACGTGGATCCTTTTAGTTATTGACGGGTGGTCAACGAATTAATTTTGAAATTACCTTTACATCCTCCCACTTTTTGTTCTTCTTCAAATGATGCATTTAATAACAATCCTACATGGCAAAGACTTTTAGTATTTGTTCTTACTTAAATAGTTCTTAACAAATAGACGTAAAAAGCCGAGTGTTGGGATGGGGTCTGGAAAAAACATGTTAAAGAGGGGGCCCAAGGAGTAAATAAAGTTAACAATCCCTTTTATAGTACTTTATTAATTCCTCTTATAGTTTTATTCGAATTGAAAGAATAAGTGGTTAATTCAAAATAATTTCTTTTTGCATTCTAAGCTTGCAAATAACTAAATAAGTTGATATACTTTACACTTTCATTATATGTACTTTTTTTTTTACAATGTTAATTGTTAAAAATTAAAATGATTACTTTTGATAACTGATGTCCTTATCTTACTGATTTTTTCAAATACATAAAACGTGTTTACGCTGTTTTCTTTTTATTCCAAGCCATTTGAATAATTCAAAGTCATATTAAATATCATGTATTTATCTTTTTTTTCAGCAAGCATGTTTTGAAAAATTCTACAATTAATTCCACAAGCCAGCGATGGCAATAAAGTGTGTCATCAACTAAAGAATGAATTAAACTCACACATCGAATCATTTAGACAATAAGTTTGGGCATAACTTACACGTGTTTTTAGCAAGGTAGTTTCGCCCATTTTTGGGTAAGATTCTATGAGAAGAAAGCTGAGCTCACCGAAAATCTATCAGACCGTTTTTAAACTTATCGATGGAAATTATTGATGAAAATCAACGTGTATCTTTGTTATCGATTAAATCGCCGATGGCTCGTCGGTTCCTTGGATTGGGCAAGTTTCTAAACTTAGCTTAGAGTTAAGAAACGAACAGCTGGATTGTAGAGGAAGCATGCAACTCCTGGAAGGTAACAGAACACATTAAAAATAAAAATATTAGGAAATACCACTACCTAATGAATTTTCGATGGTATCTATCTAACTTATAATTATTTTAATTTCTAAGTTTTAAACTTTAATGTCCTGTCCTGCATATAGCTTGCCACTAAGGCATACAAGTTGGTGAGTTTTTTTACTTCTGAGGCTGTAGGTGTAGGCCTGGCTACCACACGATATCTAAGGTGGAGTATGTGTCGAACAGGAGAAGCATAGCATATCTTTCAGCCTTTTCTTCTACGTACTGGCGTACTCTCTGTATGACATTTACGGTTCCTTACCTTTAGTGGATTCATATTGCCACGGATGGCTCGATTTTGATACGACTGGTCGAAGGCTTGTGATCACCAGATTCTCCAATACTTCGTTCATTACAAGGTGTTGACAAATGACAAGTTGTTTGTCATTGGCTTCTTTCTTTTAGAAGAATCTGACATAGACAAATTTTCAGCTCCCTGTAAAGTATCTAAGTAGTCTTTAATGAATGTACGTTCTGTCTAAGATATCTGTGACATCTGCCTGTCAACGGCAGGAAAGATGCCTGAAATGACCAGTGTTGAGCCCTTGTGCGTAAAACAGGTGCGATAACTAATTACATCCTGCTGTATGGAGAGAAACGGCTCGCTCTTTCATTTGAATGTTAAAGGTTAAAGGAAAACTTAGAAAGCGACTTAGATGAATATCGAATATTTAAAAGCATACTTTCATTAACCTTGGCTCGACTTCTTATTATTAGATCTAAATGACCGAGCGAACGGCAACAGGCCAACTTATCGTGACGGGTAGGCTGAAAATATCTGCGAATTGTTAGGCTTCTCGGATAAAAACAGACAGGTGATCCAGAGAATCTGAATCTGCTGATAAGGCTACCTAAAATTTTAATAACTATCGAGGAATTTCACTCCTTCCGGTATGTTATAAAATATTCGCTTTAATCTTAAGCAGTCGAATCACGGAATACGCCGATGAAATTATCGGAGACTATCAATGCGGATTTAGACGGAATCGTTCGACTATTGATCAAATATTTTCTTTACGGCAAATATTAGAGTACAACGGTATTGTTCACCAGCTGTATATCGATTTCAAAAAGGCTTACGATTCTATTGACCGCCAGAAACTGTATAATATACTAATCGAGCAGGCGATTCCAAAAAAACTAGTAAATTTGGTCAGGATGTGCTTGACGGAATCACTCAATAAAGTTAGAATCGGTAATAATCTGTCCGAAAAATTTGAGGTTCGTTCGGGTTTAAAACAGGGGGATTCCCTTTCGCCTGCCCTGTTCAATTTGGCATTAGAAGATGCCATTAGGGAGGTAATGCGTACCGAAAAAGTGTTGGATCTTGGTGGGAAAACTTCTGTGCTGGGCTATGCTGATGATCTGGTACTGTTAAGCGAAGACGTGGAAACTATCAAACTAAATACGAGAACATTAATGAAAGCCGGTAAAGAACTAGGACTAGAAATAAACGCAGAAAAAACAAAATATATGGTTAGCTGTAAAAATGGCGATACTACTGGTGATATCGATATAGATAGTAATATGTTTGAACAGGTAGAGAAATTTAGGTATCTAGGTTCTACAATAACTAGAAAAAACGAAATTGAAGAAGAGGTTAAGGTTACACTGAAGGCGGGAAATGCTTGTTATTTTTCTGTGACAAAACTACTTAGCTCGCGCCTCCTGTCCCGGAACTTAAAAATTAGAATCTATAAAACCACTATCTTACCTACAGTTCTGTATGGATGCGAAACCTGGAGCATCTTAAGGTTTTTGAAATTAAAGTATTGCTTGGAATATTCGGACCTAAGAAGGATGATTGAACCGGAGAGTTCAAACTGTTACACAACGCCAAATTGCGTGAACTAGTTGGGTAATATAATTGCGGTAATTTCATCGCGGTGAATCAAATGGGCTTGTAAAATTGTTGGGCTTGGTAACGAGAGAATTCCTAAAAGGTTAATATTTGCTGTACCGAATGGGAAACGTCCGAGGGGAAGACCGAAGCGAAGGTGGGAAGATTGCATTAAAGCCGATCTGAAGGAACTGGGTTTGGACGGCGAACGGTGGAGGGAGGTGTGTAATAAGCGATTGGTGGTGTCGGCATCGAACCTTCGGGTTCCCTAAGCCTTTTATTATATATTATTATTATTATTATTATTTATAAAGAAATAATTACTTCTGCCACATTTAAGAGCACTAAGTATTAGAGCTATGTGTGGCACATTTTTATCATATATACAAGATAATAACAAAAATAAAACACAAATTATGCACATCATAATAAAATATAAAATCATTTTCTTTTTTTTTTTGGTACAACAATTCCATTGAAGTCGTATTTTGTCCAATAAAAAATTATAAAACATATTCATACTTAATTAAAATACTTACCTGGTTAGAGATTATGCTAAGGAATTAGGATGATGGATAAGGTTCTGATAAAAGTTTTAGAATCTGGATGTAATAATGCCAAGGGCAGAAGGGATGATGACATAAAGGTAATGATGAAAACTTTTGTTTGTAACGTTATACGGAGCATTGATTATTGTACGAAGGATTTAACGTAAAGCTGGAAGGATTGGATACGTTAGATTTAAAAAAAATTAGCTGTCCAACACAGACCAAGACGGTAGGTCAAGATGGGCTTCAGCATGGTATCGTAGATTAATATTTTGTTTTCAATTAAAAGATTAGAGTTTTGTTGAGTAGTCTATATAACTGGCCAAATCGTCGTTTAAGCTATTGCTGATAAGTACTGTATGGGGATTTCATGTCAGTCTTTTGTCTAAAAGGAATCCAATATACCGACCTTATTCTGATATGGGAAGAGAGATAAAGCTGAAAAGGATTGGTGGAAAGGATATACATCGGAGGACAAACATGCTTAAATTTAAATTCGTTGATTTTGATTAGCGTTGCCCAAATGCGAGACCAAGACGAGTTTTGGTCTTGCGCACTCCATCTCAAGCAAGAGTCCACAATAGTCTTGCAGTTACCGATTAGCTTATTACTATAGAGGCATTACTGTATTTTTTTATATAGGAGAAACCTAACTAACCCCGAATGAAAAATTAGAACAGTTAAATGCAAAAAAAAGTTATAAGCTTTGTTAGAAACCTATATGAGGGTTCCACCTGTCAGGTTATCCACTGTGGCAAAGTGTCGGAGCCCTTTAATGTTGAGACTGGTGTTATGTTGGATGTGAATATGTTCTCTCTCCTATCTTATTTCTGATGGTAATCAACATCATTTTAAGGAGAGCTCTTCTTAGAGAAAGAGGACTTCAGTGGAGGCTGACGGAAAGACTCGAAGATCTGGACTTTGCGGATGACTTATGTTATTTCTCCCAAAGTTTCAGGGATATGCAGGAGAAGCTAAATGAAGTCCAGAAGGAAGCTCGAAATGTCGGCCTCAAAATAAATGGTAATAAAACGAATGAGATGCGAGTCAAGAAAATCTTGTCACCTTATAAAAGACCAAACAATAGA